TGTCCCAGCATGTCACGGCGACTCAGATCCGCGCCAGGCTCGAGGACATCGATGCGTCGCGCAGGGCCGTCAAAGATCTCAAGGACCCCTGCCTCGTCGCCGCGCGAGAGAACCTCGAGTCGGAGCGCAAGTGGCTGCGCAACGAGCTTGATGCGTCCAAGCCCGCCCCAGCGCAGCTGCGTGCCCTGTCGTTCCAGTCGCATCGTCTTCAGCAGAAGAAAGACAAGCTCATGCAGCAGCTGGAAGCCGCCGAGCTTGGCCACGGCGCAGGCAGCGATCAAGGAGCAGGAGGAACTTGTTACGGGGGCTGAGCGCGGCATCCTGCAGCTGGCGGAGGAACAGGCGCGGTTGGCGGCGGCTGTGCCCGGGCCGTCTGTCTCGGCCTCAAGGGACTCTGTTACGGCGCTGGGCCTCGCCGTCGAGCAGATGGGCGCCGTGCTGCAATCGCTTGGTGATGACGGGGCCATCGTCGCAAGATGGGGTTCAGTGCTCGAGGAGGCGCAGGCGCTGGAGGTCAAGAAGCTGGAGGCCGAGCGGGACACGGCTGCAGCAGCTATCTTAGAGCAGGTGGGCTATCTTGGAGCAGGTGGGCTATCAGGACCTGAGGCGAGGGCTATCTTGGAGCAGGTGGCCCAGTTAGCTTCGCCCTGGTCAAGCATCAGTGGGTTCCCCAGCCCAAGCGTGAGTACATGTCAAAGGCAGAGCGCGCGTGTGGAATGTTGAGGCCAGGTGGGCCCGACGCAACATTGGAGGCGATAGGGGCCACGGCAGCAGCCTTGGTAGAGCAGCGCTCGCAGATGTCAACGTCGGCCTGGGGGGCATGGGCCGCCGACTCTTTCAATCGCGGAGCCAAGTTTGCGCACCGCCACTCGCGAGGCAAGGCTCTGCAGGAAGTTGCAGGCGCGAGCTTGACGGCGCGTGTGCCGACGCAGCCGCGCTCGCTTGCGGACAAGGCCATGCGGGAATGGGACAACATGGGCGACGCATGAGGTGCCAGCTCCAATTGTGCTGGACGCTGCAGGCTGGGATGCACTCCCAGAGCTTCCCTTTGACGATCTGCACAAAAAAACGATTCTTCAGTTTCTGCGGGGCTCGGGAGTTGGCCAGTTGAAATTTCCCCCCAGGAGTTCGACTTTTATCAGCGACGCTGTCCTCGGGGTCTTGGCCGACTTGTTTGTGCCTTGCTAGTCTCTTCTCCTTTGGGGCGCCGCCTCCTTGCGCCCCTGAAGAAGTCCTGAGGATCTGGGGGCGAGCCCGAAGGCCGATCGCTGCAGAATGGGGGCCCGCGCGCGAGCTGGAATGCATTTGGGGGGCGGGGGCTGGCAGGTCGTCGTCGGACAGCGCCCTTTCCTTGAACCGAGAGGCTGAGATAGCGCGCAAGCTAGGAAAGGATAACTTGACAGCGCTTTTGGAGATGCCGAGATGTTACGAGACCGTAGCGTTGCAAGGCTTTCTAGATGAAGCGCGGGCGAATCTGAGTCCGATGAGAATGGCGTGGGTGGCGATCCAGACCTATCTCCAGCCCAGGTGCTTGCGTGCCTTCTCTTCCCCGCCCTTTCCCATTCGCTCCAATCAAAGAATCTTAGCAGGTAGTTCGATGGCAACTACCATGATAAAATTGTTTCTGATGCGTGGCCTGCGGCATACGATGGAGCCCTATGCACCGGTCACTGCTAGGGCTTCGATAGGCGACGCCAATCTCCACTGGCCTGGGGGCGGGCCATCGTGGGGGGAGGAGAAGATCAGGCTCGAACGCTGGCCTTGGTTGTGCTGACGTTTTGTCAGGACGTCAGGCCGCTGGGCTCGGCGGTCGAAGCCAGCAAGTCAGGTTTCGTGGCAAATACCTCGAGAGGTTGTGTTCGCGTTGCCAAATTGGTCCGGCGTCAGGGTACGGAGTCCAGGCTTGCAATGGGGAGTCTAGGGCGCGAGATGCACGGCTCTCGAGCGTCGCGTCAATAGGAGAAGGCTCGCCTGCGCACGCTGATGGCTAAAAGAACGACTGGGGGTTGAAGCGCGCTGCTGGAGAGGCCGCCAAGGTCCTTTGGAGGGCGGGGCTGCTCCCGTCTGCACGGCGCGGGGCTGGCGTTTGGGGATCTCGGGCGCTGCGATGCGCCGGCTTCGCACGTTCGCAGGAGGTACGCGTGGAGCTCAGCCCAAGGCCAGCTTAACACTGTGTGGAGCCACTCAAAAAGACAGCAGGTTCGATCCTATGTTTGAAGCCACTGTTCCCTTGGTTGTCAGGTACGCCGCGTTTTTGTTGGACAAGAGGGTCAAGCCGAGCCTTCTCTTCAAACCTCGGGCGGCCGCCAGAGGTAGGAGTCAGAAGGGCGCGTCTGGGGCCAAGGCCACTGTTTGGGCCACGCTTCTGCGCGTTGGGTGGGCGATGCTCCCCCCCAATCAGTGCGTGCTTCCGTTCTCGGGGCCCAGGTTGACCTCCTCCAGGTTTGCCCGAACGACGCGCGCCGTTCCCTTGAGGAAGGCTGCGCCGCCGGCAAACAGGCAGGATGTCGCAGCATCTTCCCAACAGCCGATGGGGGACGTGCTGGAGGAGGGCCATGCCAGGCGCAGGAGGCAGAGGGGCGCTCCGCACCCGCTGGCCTGGAGGCGTTTGGACCCCGGAGCGTCTCCACTCCATCCAGATACGCAACTCGCCGCAGCGTGTCGTTTGCAAGCAACTAATCGGCTCGGAGGCTCACCAGCGGTTCGGGCGCAAGCCCATGTTGAACGCTTTCGATGGAAAAGTGCCCGATGATGTGCTGGAAATTAGAGCCGCCACTAAGGGGCAATGCCCAGGTCAGGCAGGAAAGACGATTTTTATGGGTTAAACTTCGGGCTGCCGCCCTTGCCGCTTTTTCCCTCTGCTGCCGAGGACGAGAATCCTATATGTAGGCGGGGGGACTGGCGTGGGAGTTGGGGGCGACGGGTTTACACGGACGGGTCTGGCCAGGCGTCGTCAATCCCAGGGCTAACCAGGTGCGGTTGGGCTGCTGCGGAGATAAACGAGTCTGGCGTTGTGCTGAGGGTCATCTTTGGAGCCCTCCCAAGCCAGGCACAATCGGTTCCGAGGGCTGAACACTCCGCGGCGCTCGAGCCACTCGATGTGACAGCCCAGCCCGCTATCATCGCTTGAGACCATCCCAACTTGGTGAGAGTAGGCCAAGCTTGGCAGGCCACCGCCTTTGACCATGGATTATCAATCCAGCCGCGCCTCTGTCTGGGAGAAGGTGCATTGCTTGTACCAGCGCAAGGAGCAGCCCGCCTTCGAGCGGGTCCCCGTGCGCAGAGACTCGCAGGCTGCGCTCGACTCTGATGATTATGATGTTCTGCGTTGTATCGGCAATGAGTGGGCGAAACACTTCGCTGAGCAAGGGGCTTTCCTCCACACCCAAACCCAGGCCCTGCAGGACCTTCGCACACAGAGCCTGAGAGTTGCGAAGAATCATGTCCAAGTTGTTGCCTGGATGTCTCAGGCAGCGGCCAGGATGACGGAAGAGATCCAGCCCAGAGACGAGACACCGCCTCAGCCCTTCCGTGCTGTTGCTGCGCAGCCGACGGTGCCCGATTCCCACGAGTTCAAGGTCTGCAGGAGGTGCTCCGAGCACGGCTGGTACTAGGTGAAACAGGCTTACTCGGACGTCTGACTCGCACAGAGCCCTCCGTGCTCATCCCTGCTCCCCCCTCTCCCCCTCGAGGACTGCGTCCGCGGAGCGGTCTCTCCGCGCAAGCCCAGAGGACTTCGGGCCTTCCCGAGCCAGACCGTGCAGGCCTGCGCTCCCGGCCGCAGGCCCGGCGGACAAGCCTGCGGGCGCGCCCCCGCAGGTGGCCCGCCCAGGGAGGGAGGCGGTGGAGCTGCTTGTCCTGCTCGAAGGCCAGCTCGTAGCGCATCCGCGTCAGAATGATCTTCTTCCTGACCTCGTGGCCGTGCTCGCGGGGAGGGCGGCTCGATCGGCGGGGGGAGGGACGGTGAGCTCGAGTTCGCTGCAGGCCGGCTGCACGTCATGGAGCGTTTTGGTCGTACGCTCGCTGTGGTTTCCGCTGCGGGGCCTGCTCCGTCGGCCGAGGTCGAAGTCCTGAGCTGCTGGAGGTGTGCCGCGGCCACTCGTTGAACGGCAGCAGCCGAGCGAACGAGGAGCAAGCTGTCTCCCGCATCATGCGTGGCCTTCATCCCCGCACTTGCCTGCCCTTGCCAGGGTGAAGCCCGAGCCGTCCAGTCTCCGCCGTATTGTTCGTTGGAACGGTGCTCGTGCAGGGGACATCGCGTGCTTGGTTGAACTGTGCGCAGCGTCGAGCAGCCGATTGCTGTGCAGTTTCTGTTTTCCCTCTCCGCTGGGGGGCGCTCGTAAGCTCGGGAAGTCCCTTTCACCGCGCGGGACCTCCTCCTCCTCCTGCTCCTCCTCCTTCTCCTCCTCCTCCTCCTCATCCTCTTCCTCCTCCCGAGGTCGGGATCACGACCCGCCCCGATGCAGAACTGCTAGTCGGAATTGCGCTGTTCCTGCCATCGGCCTCTTTCCTGCTGCGCAGGCTGCTCGGGCACGGTGGCGGGGCGTGCCGCAGGCAGCTGGATGGCTGTGCGCCTCGCGGCGCGCGCAGACCGGCCATCTCCGCGCTCCCGGCTCCCGCGCCGCCGCCCTGGAGAAGGGCACCTCCGCCCGGCCCAGACCGAGAGGCGGCGCTGTTTTAAGCCTGGGTGCACGAGAAGGGCTAGAGGAACAACCACGGAAGGACGTGAGGAACATCGAGCCCCTTCCGAATCCAAGCTGTTCCTTATTTCAGCGTCTTGGCTGTAGGTCTGGACCTCTGGGGGTCGCGTCATGACAAAATCATGACGTCGGGGGTCTGGGAAGGCTTCTCAGCAGGGGGGCTGCTTCTTCGGAAGGCGCAGGCTCTGCATCTGCAGAGAAGGCCCGCGTCTGCTGAGCTGCAGGGGTGCTTCCTAGACGCCTTCCCCCTCCCCCCGCCCCCCCGTGCGCGCCGCCGAACCCCCCCGGCCCCGGTCCAGCACGACGCACACGGCCCCCTCGGGCGCGACCGCGAGGAGGTCCCGCAGGAAGGCGAAGCCCCCCGCGCGGACGGCCTGCATGTTCTCGACCTCTCCGGCCCCCCCCCCCCGCTCCCCCGGGCCCGCGGCCCTGGTCCGCGGCACTCCGGGCGCCGCCAGCACCTCGCGCGTCGCCCGCGGGTGGCGGCCCCGGCCGCGGCGGACGGTCGAGGCCGACTGGGCCGTCGGGATCGGGCCGAAGCGGTCGCGCCCTCGCCTCCGGTGCTGCGGGTCGAGGGCGGCACTTCTGGGCACCCGCGGCGCGAGGTGGTCGGCACGCGGAGCCGTCGTCCCTCGACCCGGGGGCTGCCCCCAGCGCGCCCTGGTGCCGTTGGTGAGGGTCCGAGCTCTGCGGTGGCGTGGAAGAAGCAGGCCGGGGGGAGGGCCGATCGGCGTTCCTTCTGTTTTTTTTTGTTGTGCATTCCTTCTTGTTCTTGCTTGAAAGACGCCAGAGGAGCGTTCCAACTCTCTGCTCCCGACCTGCTCGCTTCCACGAGCCCCAGACAAGAGCATGGCTTCTCCCTTGCCTGGATCCGCATCGGGCGGTGGCGCTCAGGACCCCCCCGAAAGCAAACAAAAGCAGCGGCACCGGGGATCACGACACACTAGGTGTCCGGCCAGCACGTACGAGAAGACGAGGAGGTCCCAGCGTCCCGCACTCTCCAGCAACCCTGCGTTGGCCACGCTGTCCAGGGGTCGCGCCACGTCCGCGCTCCCGAAGGCCACCTCGTCCTCCAGAGGGCAGAAGGTCCACCCCCGATGATGACCGCCCCGACACGCGAAGCCGTTCCGTAAACGCACCCAAAAAAGGAATCAAACAGAGCAGGGCTGCTTCGTAGACGCCCAGGGCCGTTCAGTAGATGCCCATTGTCCGGTCCGGGTGGTTCTCCCCCCTTGATTTGGGTCGGGCATGTCCCCCTACAGGGGGATTTGAGAAGAAAATCAAACATACCCCCCAAACATACCCCCACAAGTGCAAACAAATGGTCAACAACAGTCCCAAGACTAGTTTTTGACTATTTTGGAAAAGTCCCCCTGCAGAGGGACAGGCCCGGCTTCACCTCTGATCCTCCGCACCCAGCAGCCCCAGGCCGCGCAGCTCGGAGGCCAGCGAGCGGACGCAGCCCGCCCAGCCCTCCTCGAGGTCCAGGATGTCCACGTGCAGCCGCGGGCCAGGGCCGGCGCACAGGAGCCGCCGGACCTCGGAGCAGGGCGAGGCCGAGGCGACGGCAGCTCCAGATCGGCCCCTTGGGCCCCTCCCGGGGTCCACACGCGTCAGCTCTCCGAGCTGCGTCCAGCCGTGGCGGCGAGTGGCCCCCCCGAGGGCCAACCGCGTGCCGTTGTCTCAGTTCGTGCTCTTCGGGCGACCAGCGCCAGTGACAGTGCGCACTCGCCGGGGCCGCCGCCGAAGGATGCGGCCCGCAGCGGCCAGGCGCGCGGCCCCAGCAGCGGCGCCACGGCGCGCTGCAGCAGAGCCGCGCCCAGCTGCCTGCTCCTCTGCGCCAGCCGATCGCGCACGTAGCCGGAGCGGGCACCTGGCTCGAGGGTTCCAGATCACGAGCGGAGAGCGTGTCCATAGTCACGGCCTCGCGGCCTGGATGCCAGGGCGCGATCCCGTGGACACGCGGTCGCATGAACACGCTCCGCGCCAGGCATCGGAAGAAGAAAACGCCCACGTAGCCACGAGGCCGCGGCCCAAGAGAGCCCGCCGCGCGAGGCCGTGGACACGGCTATTTTCTCCGCCCACGACCATCAGGGGGTCAGGGTCGAGGGGAGTGGGCCGACCCCTCTGCTTGGCGGCGCGGCGCGCACAAGGGGGTGGGGGGAGGGGGGAGGGCTTCTTAGAAGGAGGCTGCTTCTCAGAAGGCGCAGGCCTTGCATCTATAGATAAGGCCTGCGCCTTCTAAGAAGCAGCCTCCCCCCTCCCCCCACCCCCCTCTGCGCGTGGCTGACCTGCGGTTCACCCTCTTTTTTCTGGGGGCTGGAAAGGAGGGCAGACGCAGGGGGTTCGGCCCCTTTGGAACCCGACGAGGGCATGCGTCGCCAACGGGATCCTCTGGAATGCGTCGACGTGGACATGCGTCGACGTGGGCATGCGTCGCCGTAGGATGCGTGGCCGTGCGTGGGCATGCGACGCAGGGGGTCGGCCCCTTTGGAACCCTCTGGCCTGGGCTCTGAAAGCCGACGTTGGCGTGCACCGCCAGCGCGCCGTGCCTCGTCGAGGCCGTCAGCTCGGCGCTCAGCAAGGCCGCCTCGCACGGGTCGACGGGGCAGAGACGCGACAGCAGCCTCGGCAGCAGCGCCGCGGCCGCCTCGGCGTGCCTCTGCAGGAACAGCTCCTTCCGCTGCTTCAGAGGTGGGGCCCCGAGGGAGGGGGGCCTCAGGGCAGGAAGGGATCCGAAGGTGGACTCACGCTGCTTGAAGCACCTCGTCCTCAGGCCCCCATCCCTCGGGGTCCCATCTTTCAGCCGCCGATCCTTGGCGACCTCCGGCGCCAGGGCGGCGGGCCCTGCCTGGGAGCCACCGTTGGCGGGCGACGGCGCCCGGAAGGCCGCGTCGAAGGCTTCCGGGTCTGGCGGCTGCGGCAGGGGCGGGCGGCCCGGGGGGGAGCGCCACTTCTTGCGGGCGAAGGGCGATAGAAAAAAAGCCGAGCGACCCACGCGCGACCCACGCGCGACCCATCCGCGATCCACCCCGCGACCCACCCGCGACCCAGCCGCGACCCACCCCGCGCGACCCACCCGCGACTCACCCGCGACCCATCCGCGACCCGCCCCGCGCCCGCCCCCTCGCTCTGATCTGCAGCTGCGGGGGAGCGACGATCAAAAACGAGTTTTGTGCGAGATGGCACAGCAACCGTACGCGGCGGCTCACGCGGGCCGCCAGCGCGGCACGCTGTGCTGGAAGAGAGGGCGCTTACGCGCGACCTCACGCGAGCAGATTGCGCGCCATTGTCGGCGCACTTGCCCCCCTTTTTTGCGTCGCTCAACTGTTCCGCAATAGGGGAACGTCTGCTCTGGGGGGGGCTGGAAAGCTTATACCCCGACGTACCACCGTCGGGGTGGAAGCTTTCCAGCCGCCCTGGGGCAGTGGCACAACGCTTGCTCACTGGTCGTGCGCGCCCCCCTACATCATGCAGCGCAGCCTGGACTGCTTATCCACATCGTGCCCCGCCCGTTCCGGGGCCCACCTGTTGGTTTGACCGGGCCTCTGCCTCTGCCTGGGGCAGGCGCCCCCGAGGGCGGACAGACTCCACGTGCCCAGGGTTGAGGCGGGCATGTACCCCTACAGGCAGATCTTCAACGAAAAATGAAGAAAATACCCCCCACACAGACTCCAACCGATCCCATATTATCTTTTGAAATATTACTTTTAGATCTTCCTCCTGCAGGGCTCCAGTCACAAGTGCCTTCGGCGACACCCCCCGGCGAAGGCGCGCACTGCCCGCCACCGGGCGGTCCGCACCTCTGCTGCCTCCGCCGAGTCTGGAGGGCGCGAGGCGGGGCCGGCGCAGGAGACGCTGTAGCAGAGGGCGTTGGCCTTCAGGAGCAGCGAGTAGCGGAGCTCCGGGCAGGCGGGGCACCGGTGCCGGAACGAGCGCGGCCACAGCAGGCCGTCCCGCAGGGGCCGCCGCGCGCACAGCTCCCGGCGGCACCCGCGGCACTCGAAGTCGACCTCGACCGCCATCGCGGCGGGCGGCGGTGGGGCGGAAGAGGAGGCGGGTTTTCTGCCACTCA